ACTGTGCAGAGAAAAAGATTTTTTCTGTTTAAAATGCTGCTCTGTGCAGCATTTGAAAATTGACAATTACACACCTAGGATGCATTAATTGGCTCCCACTTAGGGAGAACAAGCAAGCTTTCCCTGTAAAGGTAACAGACATCCAGGTCCTGCATTCAGCTTTTTAAGATTATGAGAGAACAGAAGGTTAGAACAAGCCTGTCAGGCTCTCACTTTGAGCAGTAAATTATTAATTTAGGTAAGCTGCTACGTTAATATGCCATTAAAATGACCAAAAGCAGCTCAAAGTTTATAGGGAAGCTTCATACTTCAATAGACCAAAGACAATATGTGCTATTTAACCAGACTGCTTTCATTTTCTTTCTCACTATTTTCTTTGTCACATGTCCAAGATGCTTGGTGATGTATTTGCCATATATATGTTGTTTGCAAAATACAACTTGCAAAGCATGCTTGTATTTGCCATCTTTGTGGTTTATCCTGCCCCTTGTGCCAGAGATTGAGCAAAATTGTTTGGAGACCCCATAAAACACTTTCAAGAGAGCAAGCTAATGACTTAAGTAAAGGATTATAATTTCACCGAATGACGAGGTACACAGCCAAGGCAGGCAGAAAAGGAAACAAATCTTATCCACATTTATCTTTGAAGACAGGACTGTGGGCAGTTTATGCTACTAACAAAGTACTTTTTCCCCGGTGTAAATATGCAAATATCTCTGCAAATGCTTGGCACTGTGAAAGTCTTTGGAGTCTTAACTCTCCCCACTTTCATTTGCTACTGCAGCATATCCTAGACAGGAAAACAAGCAAGGCCTTATTCTAGAGTCTACTGCACGACACTATTAGATGCAGAACTAAAGCCAAAAGGCATAAATTCACTAGCTGGATTTCGCACACAAGCAAAATTTGCAAAGGAAATCGACATTCTTTGGAGTATATTTTTTCTCAAGAATTCATATCTGAGCCTCACAGGAATACATTTCTAATGAAATCTCATAGCAGATTSTTAGCTCACTCTTGCTCTGAGAGGTACTGCTAGTTGAACAGGCACAGTCCCATGCAGGGATACATTTACTTCTCATTTCTTCTTAACAAAAGGACACAAACAGAAAGACACTATAATTTTTATACTAATGTCAAGCTTTACAAGTTACCCTTTTTCAGGGGGGGATGTCAAGGAAAACATTCCCCCCACTCAAAAAAAAGACTGAAGTTGCAATTAAACCACACCACAAAACATCCTGCACTGTTCTGTTTGAAGCAGAAAGAGGGGTGCTGGATTCATAGAGACATGGAGAAGGAAGAGATGAGGGAACTGTTGCTTTCACCCTATTACCCTGTAGTCTGGTTAAGRCAAATGGATAATCCTTAGCTGGCTGCCTAAACCCTATTGAGTGAGTCAGACACGTGCACATCAAAGGTGACTTTGAATCGCGGCTTCTCCTTGAGGAGCACCTTGACCACTTTTAACTTTGGGTTTTCAGAGGGAAATTTCTCTCTCCTCTTGGAGCTGTGCTGTTTGCCTAAATTGCCTACGTACAGGCAGGGGAAGGACAGAGACAGAGCGACTATAACTGCACAGTTTTAGCCCGGGGGGAGGCGAGACGCCTGTGCTTGGGTAATAGCTCCAGGAAACACTCAGTAGAAGAGTTCACTCCAGAAGACATTGTGTAACAGCTTAAGCATCTCTACACGCTGGAAAAAATAAAGTTAAATTCCCTATAATAAAGAATCTCTTGCATCTAACAAGAATACCTTTATCATGAGGCTCTCACATGAAATCAGGCAAACTGAAGCATGCCTACCTTTTTACTGCCTCTGTTACCAATGGCTAACAGGTTAACTGGACTCTTCAGCCCCTCTATCTTGTTTTTGTTAAAATTATGTGAAGTTAAATTAACTTGTTTTTCTTTTCATGGAAAAATCCTCACATTTTAAATTTGTTTTGATCACAATACATTTTTTTAGTTAGAAACTGAAGCAAAAAAAATCAGGTTTTCACATATTCCTACCAATTCACTTTTTACTCCTTTTTGTTGTGATTTCTTTCACATGCACATACAATGTATGAGTCACCATTGACGTATCCTCCAAAAAACTACTCTACATTTAATTATTTTAGAACATAAAGTGTTGAAACAGAGAATCTTTTTGGACCACAGCAACACTTCTCAGTATTTTTCAAAACTCAAGCAATCTTATCAAGTGGTCCCTCTCTAACTACATGGAAATATGATCTCCTTTACTTCACAAAAAGAATTCCTAATACTAGTAGTATTCAGCATTTACCCAGTACTTAACTGACTAATCTTCAAGTATCTACAAAGAGGAGAAATACTACCCTCACATTACAGGTTAAACAGTATTATTTGTGTTGTATATCGATTTATTCAGTTGGCATTTCAAAAATACCTAATCTGCATTAAACATATTAACATTCTTTAAAATTACTTTCTGTTGAAACAATCTTTTAGGTTGTTGGACCTAACTGCTCATCTTTTGAAGACACAGACTCAGTAGGCAAGTTAATTTACAGGTTTSCTACCTACGAGCTGAAGGTAGACCTTCAAGAGAATTTAGATTTATCAGTCTGCCACTACAGTTAAAGTAAATTTTGAGCTTTAGTTATTTCAGCACTTTTGAAAATCCAATTTGAAAAACACCACCACCAACACCCACATTTTAAGGGCTTTTGTTATTGTGCTGCTTTGGTGTTAAAAAAAAGTCTCAATTRCTGATGGTAAAGGGCAAGATATTTAAATCAAATACATTAAAAATGCTGTCAAAAGCAAAGAAACTGACTAAAAATGGGAAACCGAAGGAATAGCACCAATGTTTTAACTTCTATCAATAACAGGTAACAWAGTATTTAAATATAACTGTGTTGGGTAGGAAACTTTAAAAGGGAAGSAAGATTTTTAAACTGCTCATTTTCCTTTATAATTTTTTAATTCTCAATAAATTGAATTTTTCTAGAGCCTACTGAGCTTTCCTAGTTGCCAGTTTTAGGACTAGGTCTTTGAATTTGTTTAGCACAGATGATTACAGTGTGATGAGGTCTATTACACATTTAATATTACACATTTCCCACTACCTGATCCTGCTCAGTCATTATCTGTAGACTTAAAATGTGAATAGTGGCATTTTGGAAGTTGAATGTTTGTGTTTCAAGGTACAAATTTAGAGAAAGTACAATTCTTTAATTCATATGAAAATAGCTCCTGCAGCCATTACTTTCAATACTTTCCTAGAAGTAGGAAATATTTCCTAGAAGGCCTATGTTTTGAATGAAGATCATGAAGTATATCACAAAGAAGCAGTAGTCTCTCTTTCCCCATGTTTATCCAAAGTTCAGGCCTTCAAAAATTGCTAGTTTGAAAATGGTCAGTAGATAGTAACTTAAATTTGACAGCCAACAAGCAATTCCACCTATGCTGTGCATACTTAAATAAGTGCTCTTTTYGACTGCTATTGGTGTGAATATGTCTAAAGAACGAGCGCAAAAAGATCTTCCTCTGCCTCCGTTGGCCTTTTAGTGTTGCTACTATTGGGGGCAGATAAAAAGATTCATCTTATCCACTGCCCTGGGATGCCTTTGAGAATGATTAAATCTCCTGCAGTCTCCAGAGCTGGAGATAGAAGCCAGGATTTCTTGTGATCAATATCCTGTCCTTTACAGACATTAAAAGCACATGTCTAGTTCTCTTTTGTCATCATCTCCAGACCACATTGAAATGCATGTTTGATTTTTAACATCTGTTAAGAGATGGAATATAAACTTTAGAAAATGTGTATCAGCAGTGCATATTCAGCCAGAAAAGACTGAATAGCTCTCTTGCCCAGTGTGACAACTGTGAGATATATCTCTGTCAATTTGCAAATTTCATTTTGGTTTGGTTCACAAAAATACAGGATTGGCAGTGACTGCCCCCATGTGAGTTGAGAACTTCAATTTCATCCCACATGAAAAAGTGTGTCTTATGGAAAAGTGACTGGGGAAAAAGGAGAGAAAAGAGAAGTTTTATAGGCTTGAGCTTCCCCAAGGATCATCCAGAAGATCATATGCCATCAATATTCACTGAATGCTACCTGGCTTTTGGATATGCAATACGTATTCATTTGCAGTCTGTCTTTTCAAGCCCATCACAAGATCATGCATCATTCTTTACATAATGTTAGAGCTATCAAATGGTTTGAGAGAGCTATTGGGGCTACCAGCACTGAATTACTCTTCTGACGAAAACAACAGCTTTTATCAGCAGATCCAATAATTACAGACAAGGCAATGGAGAGTACACAAATGCACAGGGAGACTAGAATTCTCCTGACTGATGTATACAAATAAAAATGAAATGTTTTTTCTAGTTCTAGTCCTCTTTAAGAAGGGTGTTTCTCTATGTAAGACTACCTGAACTGTATGTCCTGAGCACATCATGAGAACAAGGTTGAGTTTAAGTAGCCAAGTTCAATTGCTCATCATTGCATTGTTTGGTCGTCTTCCCTGTCCTGCCTCCTCTGCCTAATCCTCCCAAAAGCAGAGTGTGTATATGCATTTTGCTAAGGATGAAATGCATTTGTTTAAAAATAATCCTTTACCAAGTAAGCTTCCTTTCCTCTCCCCCATCTTTCTTCAGGAGAGATGATTTAACACCAGTGTTAACATAAACACATTGAAACACAGGAAACTTTGTTAAATTTGGGAGATCACAAAAATAAATGTATGRTAGTCAGATTGCTTCTGAGAACGAAGAGTCAAACTGGAAAACACAACAATGATCTGAATCTTTAAAACCTGAATACAGTTTTCAAGTCCAGATATTCAGCCACACTAAAAGCTTCTACTTTTTAAAGTTAAATTTACAAGGGTCTAGAGGTAAACTACAGGTTATACAAAAACCATATTTACAAAGTCAGCTATGTAACTACTAAACAAAATGAAGTTCCAGTCCCAGTTTCCAGTTCCTCCTTTGGGCAAATAAGCAGAAAAAGAATAAACTCACTTGCAGGAAATTTTGGTACGATCAGCCACCATAGTCCATTGCTGCTGATTGGTTGACACCTCAATGTAGTAGCTGTAGCTCCGATCATCACAGTCCCAAAGTAGCAACCTAAGTAAGAAGAAGCAGTTGAGTGGTGAGTACAATGAATGTTATCCAAGCTGCTCAAGTTTGCTAGTCCTTCATTTGCTCTTCTTAAAGTTTTCTGAATTTAGTTGTTTCTTTTTTAATGTGCCTGTAATATTTAACAAGTACCTAACTGTTTCTGCCATCTCAAACTTGAGTGTCTCTACTCTCATTATCCTAAGGCCAACATCCATCTTACTAGCATTATTCTATGACATTCATCCAATTACCTCTAACTTATTTGAAAGTCAATGAATGAACTAATTTATTGGGCAATGTGGAATGGCCAGCTTTAAACCTGAATAAAAGATCCAGTTGGAAAGGACAATGTAAGAGGAGAAAGAAAAAAAAATCCAGATTATTGTGACAAAAAAAAAAAAAAGACACTATCTTAGTGTTATCCTTTTTTTCTTCTAATAAGTGTATCAGACATGCTAAGACAAATAAAAAGAAAATAGGATTCCCAACTCTAGTTTATCAAAAAAATGAGGAAAAAGATGTTTGAATTATTGACAATGTTCTTAAAACAAAACAAACAAAAAACCTCAACTTACTATATATTTATTCTCATGAATATTCAACCCTTCAGGAAGTACACCAAGGGATATATTAAAAATTAGCCTTCAGCTTCCACCATTGTTCCACATAAAAGAAGAGAATGCATCAGGAGTTAAATACATCTTTTTCAAAAGATATATCTAGTCATTTTTTCTATGAATTCTAACCTCTCTACCCTTATCTCTTAAGTGGGGATTACCTCCTTTTTGTAACCTATATCTGAGATCCCAATATCGTTCCTCGATTTGGTTTTGTTTCTAGAGATACGACTTGAATAAAGTTGCATGATATTCATAGCAAGACCAAGAACTTCCTCCCACCCTGGAGTTGCACATGGGATTGAAATACATACATGGCATAAAATATTTAAGGGAAACATATTTATACATGGGATAATATATGGGATACATGTATTTAAGGGAAAAAAGCCCAGTGCAGAATGCCCTCTCTAGCAAAGATGACTGATAATTGTTTTCACAGCAGGTTTGGGAATACACAGCACCTTCATATCCAGTGAAGCATCTACAAAGAGGGTAGCTATAGACTTCAAAGGGGCAAGGGACTGGTCTAAACACTTCTGTAGTTTCTTCTTTAGGAGCAGTGAAGTATTTGACTTTTTTCTTTCATTAATAGAGGTGGTTTTGCTTCCATTTTACATAAATGCCTTGGCTGGTTTCATTCCATGGATCAGCAGGGTACACTTGAGATTACTGACTGGTGTTGTTACWGTTTTCATATCAACTCAACAGCAACAGTGATACTAAAACAAAATGTCAAAAATCTTTCCTATTTGAGTTAAAGGTGGCTGAAGACCAAACCAGCATGATACATTTACCATTCCCAGCAGTAATGCACTCTCAGAGAAGTCAATGAACCGCTCTCCTGTCAAATAATCAAAGCACAATTGACTACCCAAAAAACCTGCAACTATTCTGATTTAGGTCATCAGTGTAAACTACATCTGCAAGTAGAGAACTGAAATCCAGATAACATGGCCAAACTGGGTTCTTCTGGTATGAGAAAGAACTTATGAAGATCCACACTGCTCAGAGGATCTGTGGACTTTTAATGAAGATAGCTGAGAAATATTTGAAAAGGGAAGAAACTTGTGTCACTCTACAAACTTTCCTAGGCATAAAGTTTCATTTTTTCCTCCACAAATCTCCTAAAACCTTGAGTTTCATGTTCTAAATTCCCTTCTCCCGGGTGACAAAATATTTTCTTGCTTTCACCGCTACCTCTGAAGTGAGGAACATAACTGCAAGAGTTATTGCTCACCTTTAACATTAATAAACAAGAGTGCCAGAGGGAGAAAAATGACCTAGCTAGTGGCCAAACACAGAATCCTCACTCTTAGAGGGACATGCTGTCCCAAGCAGAAGCTGAACTGTCTTAGGAATTAATTTATCAAGGACATGCATATCTGCATCTTTGCCCTAGAAAGGAAMGGCTGCTACTTTTGTTCAAAACACTCTGATTTAGCTCTTTATTCCCCATTGTGGAAACTCAGCATTCAAAATGCAATCAGGTCTACTGGACAAGCACATTTAAAGTATACTATAGGGATGCTGTCAACTCAATCTGGCTCACTAATATTAGAAAAGATAAGCTATCTACAATAGTTTCAGAAGCCAAAAAAAATACTTAAAGAGAAGCCTTTTATTAATACCATCTATTTGTAAACCAAAATTTCAGAGCAGATTTAATAAAAAAAATAAATAAAAGGAGATCTCCAGAGTATCATACAAGACTTGGTTAGAAGAACTCTGCTTCATCAGATCCTCCACGTTCTGCTTGTCTACAGCTTGAAGGCTTCTGAACACTGAAATGATTGAATGCAGTAGATTTTGTATTTAAAAATCTGAAAATTTACAGATAAAAATTCTGACTTATGCTACTAATAACAGATAACAAATTGATTTGAGACCTGAATTTGGGCCAAATCTTTTGAATGACAAGAAAAAGGAAAGGTAAAACGTACATAAATTGCTTTCTTTTAAAAGGGCAATTAAAATGTAGCTAATCATGTTTTCCAAACTTTTTCATCACTGGGGCCTCAGTGCTGTTCCCTTGATCCTGGTTTTCACAGGTATGATCAAGAGTTTGAAGTTCAGAAGCACACTACAGACTTTAATTTTAACCAACAATATGGTAATTAAAATGCAACTGAGTTGCTTTTAGAGCAAAAGGCTAAGGGGACATGTGTCTTCCTTTTGCGCAGGCATAAATATTTCTTTCTCACAACCACCTACCCCAAGTTACATGAAAAWAGCATCGAGCATCTAGCTGCACCCTCCTGCAATATCTTTTGCAGGAGAGAGAGACTTACCACAAAACCTCTTTGGAATTTAGTCTGCATGAAAAGCTTCTCCTGAGCAACAACAAAAATCTACCAGGTGCTTAATGAATATTCACCAGCACATACTGGGCACAAAGGCCACCTTTTTATGTCATGGACCCTAATATTTCTAACACATTGGAAGCAAGCTACCAGGATAAACTTTGGCAAAAAAGCTGTGCTTTCCTGGGGTGGCTACAGAACAGCTGGAAGGGGAATGTTCTGACTTGTTCAACAAAACTATGCTCACTAAAAATATATCTGTTCAGAGTAAAATTGCCCATTGTCCTAAAACATACTATATTATAGCAAAATGCTAAATTGGGTCTTAGTAAATAAGAGCCAGCTATTCCAATATGTCACACTTTTCAGTATCGAAGTTTTACCCATTAAACAGTTAAATAAAAGGCATTTAAATTATATTTACAGCTATAAACACATCTTTTTTTATGTCATTAATAAAGGTCTTTTCAGAGAACAAAAACAGGAAGGTTATTTTCTTTCAAGGCAAGTGACAACATGGGAAAAGTAGCTAAAATAATTTTCTCTCTCTTTAAACCGTAATTTGTAACATGTCCCAAGTGAAAGTCTTAATAAAAGAATAAGCCTCTTAAACTATAAAATGTTCCTACTTCTCTAAGCTAGAGCATGCTATTTAGCTACAATTATTTAAAAGAAAGAGTTTTCCAGGTCTTTCCTGGTAAGGGCGATGATTACATATGTTTTAGTAGTTATGAATAAGTCCTGATGCAGAAGGCAAGAGCACCCAGGTTACAAACAAGTACTTGATGTATTTGACATTAGCGAGGTTTCAACATCATCTCCCATAGCATCACTGCATCCAAGCTGGGATGTTGTAGTCTAGATGGGTGTACTACTGAAGGGGTGAAAAGAGGCCAGATTATTTGCTCAGAGAGCACTGGTTAACGTTCAGTGACTTACCTAGAGGCTCACTGCAGATGGAGTTCTCCCAGCAGCTATTCTGTGGCCCATGCTTTTGGTGTTTGCAATTTAACATTGTTATACTCTCAAAAAACAGTAAATTGTGCGATGCAATAAATAAACGGCCAAGAGTACAGCTAACATTCAGATGAACTGGCTCCTAGCTGCTAGGTAGACCAGAGCAATGGGTAAGCAGGAATCACAGGAAACTGAACAAGGTCAAAAGCAAAACCCTACACCTAGCACAGGCTGACCCGCTSTAGTTGCGCAGGTGAAGGTCTGGCTCCATCTTCTGAAAAGGACATGGGAGCCTCGGTGTATGGAAGGAAAAAATGCATGAAAAGGGGAAAAAAAAATTAGACTATGAGGATAAACAAGCAGTGCTGCAGGCCCCCAGAAAAATCATGGTATTTCTGTCCTTAAAGGTTCTCAAGACCTGACTATCAGCAGCTCTGAGCAGGATGGTCTTATTTCACAGCTGACCCTACACTCAGGGAGAAGCTGGAATAGATGACCTCCTCCAGTCTTTTCCAACATGAAGGATTCCGTGATACTAAGACAAATGGATAAGTTTTGTAGAAATCATTCCTACAAGACACCTCCCTGAAACATTTAGTTCTCTATGAATATCTGAAGCATTTTCAACAGTTCTCCTGCTTAATTTGTGCTCAGGACTCAGTTGCCATGGCAATACTTTGACTCATAGAAGCTGTCCAGGGCCCTGCTGATTTCTACACAATACAAACATCTACTACCCGTGTTCCTAAGGGTCACATATTTTCTCAAATACAACTACATTCATATCTTAACTTCTAATTATGGATATCTAACCTAAACTCACAGATTGGACGCCTCAGTTTCTGGGAGCAGAGCATCTCTGGATGCTCTGTGGATGGACTGTGCATGGCAAYAGGAAAAACAGGCAAGGAACAGAATTTAAGCAGTTGTGCACGATTCTCTCCCATTCAAAAAAAAACCAACCAAACAAACAAACAAAAAAAGCCCCCACATGTTTTCATTAAAATGAAAGAATAAAACTTTGTTTTTGTCAAGCACTGGAACAGAGAGCCCAGGGAAGTGGTGGAGTCACCATCCCTGGCAGTGTTCAAGAAAGATGAGGCACTTAGGGAAATGGCTTGGCAGGCAGGGTGGTAAGGGGCTGGTGAGGGGGCTGGACTAARTGATTCTGAAGGTCTTTTCCAACCATAATGATTTTGTGATTCTGTGATTTATATGCAATTTGACCTCAGTACCAGTCATAGATATTACATATCAGTTAATAAATTCTTTTAGTCCCTCATATGGTCAAGTCTCTGCTGCTACTTAAATTTAAGTCCAAGGAAGTATGAAAAAGATTTAATTATTTTTCAATCATCTTTCTCARGAAATCTGAGTACTGTGTCTTCCAGTTCTTCAGTTGAGATTCAATACTTTTAGTTGAACATCAAAAACATCAAACTCTAAAGCATAAAATATTTACTTTGGAAAAATCGCTACCTATGGTTTTTATTTTCATTTAACTTGTTTCATGCAGTGAGACTCGTATTGTGGATAACTTCTGCATAGCAGACAAACAGATCTTCTCTTATGGTTAAGGATTTACCTAGACGTCTGATTTTAAACTMCATCCTCCAAGTTTTATAATGATAATAACATCACAAACTGAAACGAAAACACACAGCTTTTGATGTGGGTAGCGATTATTTTCTTAACTTTTCAAGACCCAGGGTTAGAACAAGCAAAAAGCCAATTCTGCACTTATTTTTAAGAAAACTCTCTTCAAGAGTTCTCCTTTTGAAGAACGCAAGTATAGTCTGTTCAGAAAAGAGAGTGGCATCTAGGAGAGAGAACTGCCATTGCCTTAGACATTTCTTTACATCTCTGCTGATACTCTTCTTAAATGTGGACAAATATTTTAGGCACGAAAATGGGCAGTTACACAATGTATTTCAAATCTCACTTGCTAATCAGTCAGTTGTCTATTCTGACAGAAAGAAGGCACAGTATGGGCTTCTAGCAATAGATATTTATGCAGAGCGCCTCTGCTTCCCCTCTTTTTCTTGGTTGTCACAGAGTACAAATTCAGCTCCTGAAAACACATCTTCTTACAGAGAACACTATAACATTAAGACAGGGATTTCTTTGTCTGATTTTATGAAATAAAATACTCATTTTGCAGTCAGTAGATCTGAAGTTGGCAAGATTTTTTTTTTTTTCAGTTGGGAATCGTTCTGCACTCCAATCTGTTTCCAAAGCTCAAAAAAAAGGGAAGCAGGAGGAGGAACTGAAGAAGCTAGAAGCTCCTGCTTTAGGCAAAACTTTGTTCTCTGTGCACACATAATAGGCCTTTACTGCAAAAAAAGCTCAGTGAACTTCACTCCAGCTCTAAACACACTCGTTAAGCCAACTTTGTAAAGTAATATTCAGCTTACTGTGCCCTTGCTAAGCATTCCCTTTTTCTAAGGGCTAGAACTAACTGCATAGTGAAAAGGCAAGTTAGGGGTAGGCAGGTCTGACATGGAGATGATGGCTTTCTTCAACAAATGCTTCTGTTCTTGCAATGAGATGCATAAGACAGAGGAACTGTATCTACTTTTACCACGAGGCTGCAGTTAAATTTCTGTTCTAGCATAGCAATTATACACCCCTAATATTAAAATTTTACCCTCTGAAATGCGTTTTTCTGGAATTGCATCCTTGTATCCTGACACCGAATCCAACAGTATATTTAATTTTTAACTTGCCCATTACACTGAATTAAAAATCCAAATGCCAATAACAAAAACCACCCCTTAATTACCATCCCATCCCAAAGTCATACATTCCAAAGAGAATAACTGTACTCAGCACGTCTCATAACTGCCCTTCGCTGGGAGAAGGGGCACCCCCTCACCGTATGGATCCAATCATGTAGGGCTGGGCGAGCTGCACTACGATAGCTCCGCTCCCCAGCTGGTGACACGTGTAGCCCGAGTCCCAGTCGTAGTTTTTGGTGTCTCCGTTGAGCAGGGCGTTGCGGCTGCGGCTCACGCCCTCGATCACGCTGGCGCAGTCAGCAATGGTGGCAACGTTCTCTGTGGGAACTGTGAACACAAACACAGAGGTGACAGATGCAGCAGCACAGCCAGAAAAGAGGTCAGCTATCAACCGCTTTTATTTGTGGGTAGGAAAGAGAGAAGGGGAAAAAAAGAAAAAAAAAACAGAGAGAGAGAATGAAAGCAAGATAAACACACAGAAATATAATTCTGCTTAGCATGAATTCTGGGGCAAAGTCAAGTAGCACAGATAATGTTTATAGGCTTCATTCCAGAATAGATTAACAGATTAATCTATCTATTAACACATAAATTTCTGTCTTGGGGATGACATGGCAGCAGTTTTGGGTTTTTTTTTTTAAACAGGGCCGAGACAAAAGAAAYTTTCAATGAATTGCAAACCATTTCTTATCTTCCTGTTCATGCAATGTAAACAAACTCATTTAAAAAAAAAAAAAAAAGTCAAAATAAGTAACTGCAGCTATAGTTTAAAGCATTGATCCAGACTGTGAGAAATTGGGGCTTAAATACTTCAGTTGGAGACCTCATGTTCTTTCAGCTCAACTGAGGATTCTCAACATGCACCTGTTGGTACTTCTGACACGCTTTTGACCAGAAATTGTACCTAAGGCTTTAGGACACTCAAATATTTTAAAGTATTTACTAAATACTTAATTAGGAACTAATCTTGCGTTAAGAGAGGGGAAGAGGGACTTGTCTGTTCAGACAAATAAAACAGCCACTACAGAAGCATTTCTCACTTATCAAAATCAGAAAAAGGAGTGAATAAACTCTACAAAAAACAAGCTATAATATCACAACATGAAAAGAAAAGAAACTACATTGAACTAGTTCTTCTGGAAAAAAAGAAATCGTAAGTATTGTATAATGATTTTCTTCCCAAAGGGAATCATTACATTCTTGGGGGACTCTCTTTCCCTCAAGATAATTTCTTTAAAAAGAAACAAAAACAGAAACCCCACACCACTATCCTGGATAATTCTTTTATTTTATATGCTGCCATAAAAATGCCAACATGCAATTGCTATGCCAAAAAAAAATCAAAAATTTTACTGTGGAATATAGAACTCACCTTCTGTCATAATCCTTAAATGCAGTTATTGGAATATTACAGGGAAAATGAGTACATTTAGATCACTGAAGGAATTTTGAATTTAAAGAATGCATTCCTGGGATGACCATAAGAACAAGAAGTATTAGTATCAAATGTTATATTGCAATTCTGAGATGATGCTCTGAAAGAGCTCATGAGCTCTTTCTTTCATCTTTACCACCCTCTCTTGCGGGCAGCGCACACATCCAAAGCTGTGATCCATGTGTCACTGCCAGCCACACTCGGTTCCCTCTTCTCCTTGGTACTCCCTAAGTTGAACACTCTAGTTTTGGAGCTGCTCTTACAAACTGAACTAGACAACGGCTAACTTGGCCATTTATAAGGCAATTTTACAAGTAAGGGAACATTACCTACCCAGCAATAGAAAATGTTGATGTGTAGTGAGTTTTTTTTTCCTTGGCAGAAGAKGTTAGGACCTGGAAATCTTTCCGAGCAGAGGAAAGCTCTTCTATTGCTTCCTTAATCTTGCCTAATCTGATTTAAAATCTAAGTAGTTTCCCTTTCTTTTCAAAGAACATTAGCGTTCAATCAGACAGTGCTTTGTTTTTCTCTGCAATTCAGAGGGACTAAGGAGCTCTCCCAAGGTTTTTTAACATCACCTTCCAGTAAGACGGCAAATAAATCATGCAGATTGTTTAAGATGTCCTATTTACATCCAAGCACTTTCTCGGAAAACCTAGTTTTGTGGTAACCTCTTCAGCTTCTTAAGCTCTCTCAGCTTTTCTGTGTCTGTCTCTATCCAGCAACTGAAAAATGAGCAGGACTGCAGAAATATGCTCTCTGAACTTGCAGAAAAACAAAAATTAAAGTTACTTTGTTAGCTTTTGTCTTTTGGGGAAATATTGAAAATACAGGTGCTTTGAGTTAAATGAGAACAAAAAAAAAAATCTTTCAGTGACTATAAAAAAAGAGATTATACATGCCTGCCTATATCTCATGAAGAACAACCAATTTGTGTGGTAATGCAATTAAAAGAGGGGAAGAGTGAATAGGCTGCCAAAAGTTACTTGACTGCTAGTGACCATTAAAAAAAATTGCTTATAAAAAAGTTTTGAAAACCATAATAATCACCACCAAATCAAAACATGAACTACACACACACACGCACATAAAAATACATAAGACATAAAACAAATACCTGGGTAAACAAATGATGTGAAAGTGGATTTGTGCACAATTTTAAGTCCACTTCAGACTGAAAACTTAAGAGTTGTAATGAGCAACCCACTTAAACAAATACATTGCCTGAAAATGACAGAAATGCATAGAAATACAGCCACGTGAAGGTTGAGAGCTAGCCATTAAAAAAAAACAAACAACAACAACAAAAAGATCCCTGATGAGTTAGGATTCTATGTTTTAAGYGTTCAATTGTCAGGTGCAGAATGTTCATAAAAAGGAACAGGAGAGTGTCTAAGCTTATTGCCAAGTAGTCCCATAATTCACTGTAGTGGCAAAGCAACTCTTTTGCAGGCATCTATTGTGCTATCAATCATCCTCTCATCTCCATGTGCCCCATCAAAAACTATTAAACCCACCATATTATTTTTCTAGAGACCTTTTGATATAGTATGAAAACTTTTCTAGGAAGGATCTGAACAAAACAGAGATAAATAATTCAGACTAAAACCACATTGGCATAAAAAATGTTTGGCTTAGCTTCCTTTTCTTCACTGATAGTAAACTCCCCTGGGTACCCATTTTAAACTGGCATTAAAGAACCTTCCATATATTGCTACTTTTTTCAGGAAGAAGCAGCTATTGATAATTGGGTTGAAAAAGAAGTAAATGGTAAAATGCCAGCTACCATACTGAGGATCTATGGAATATACTGGATACCCTGTGAACTATAAATAAGGCATTAATTTAACAGAGTATCACTTTAGTTTATCCACTGCATTTCTTGCATCACCTTGTTCCAACTGCACTTCAGCACCTGCACTAGCCCAAGACCTCGTCAGACACCAGACAACATCACCCTGAAGAGCTGCACTCCCCAATACACGCCCAGAAGCTGCGTTGTTGCTTATTTAATGCAATTCCATGGTCGTCTTCATAGCAGCAAATTAGAAAGTGATTCTACTTGCAGCATGCAGAAGGTGCCACGCTGTTCCTTCTCTCCAAGGTGARGGTCTGTCATTCCTTATTTTGAATGTTCATAATCATCTCTCATACTCGCCTGATAAATTTATTAAAAACACCATCTGTTGGGGACTACTCCATGTTATATTTTCAGGTCTTCTGATGCTCTTTCTTTTTCCCATTAGAATTTCTGCTTAAATGTGTGTCATTTGTTTACAAAAAGGTATTGCCAAAAACAACAGCATTGCTTTTCTATTTTTTTCTTACCCTCATAATCATAACCTCCTCAGGTATTAATAGTAACCAAGGTTGAAAGAGAAGACAACAGAGGARAAATTACAATTTTTTTTCACTGTTCATATAACAGTTTTGCTCTGACAAATCCAATTTACTTTTAACASAGTGGATGCGAGTTAGCAAAGCTTATACATACCACAAGCAAACAAACTATATGATTGACCTTACAGATAACAGCATGAAGAAAAGTTAAGGTTAAAAGAAGAAAAAAAAAAAAAAAGTTAAAAGAAAATGAAAAGAAAATGTATTCCCCTGTTTCCTACGTTAATGTTGCAGTATAGAGTAATGGATAGCATAGCACTTAAATAATAATATTTTTTATAAAAGACTCATTTTCAAGGTGTAGCCAAAGGATCACGGTAAGCTACAGGTAACTATACCAGCTATATTTAGAGATATGATAGACATGTTATTCCACTATCTTTAGAGATCTCCCAGGAGAAAAAAGCACTGGTAATGTATGGCAGACCTTGGTCATCTCTACTTATTACTGTGTATCAAGATGCATCCTTGATCGCAAGCTTTTTAGCACACTTAGTTTTCCATTAAAAAAAAAAAAAAGGTATTCCAGAAGAAAAAAAATAATTCCTTTCATTTCTCAGTCTGGAGGGGTCAGATTCTGCTCTCTTTGCATCCAGTGCAACTTCATTGTCTTCATCTGGATAACATGGAAAAACATGGTCTAACATCTGTCAAATCAAATCTGTGATACAGGAAGGTACAGAATGGAGTTGCTTCAGAATACGTATTAATGTATTCTCCTAAAACAGATACAGAGAAAGAGCTGATCTGCAGAGTTTTGAGGAAGTTATAAAGTATCATGGGCTGTTCAATATATTTATAATGTGATCTAGATCATGAGCTATCAAAGGTTCTCAGCTAGTATCATCACTGCCACAAAACTGACTTTTCTTAAAGCATATATTGAAGTGCCAAGGCGTATGTGCAAGAACTGGTGAGAGTGAACAGCATGTGCSCAACCACATTTCTGTTCCTTGCAGAACTTTTGGTAAGGGCAGCAGGACTTTGGACAGCTGTTTAGGAAGAAACAGTGAACAAGAAATTATACCGGAGGAAATACATTTTATTTTGTTTAATTTGAAGAGCGATTTTTCTCTCTTGCTGTCATGTGCTAGATGCCCAGCTTTCAGTCTCTCCATTTCATGGTAAAATCATACCTTTCCTCTACAGAGATGACAAGTTTCCTCACTAGAAAATGACAGGTAGAAAAAAAAAGAAAGCTCAGAGCAAAGGAAAGCTGCACATTTAGTTTTCATTTTTTTTCTATTTGGCAAATKATATTTTTAGTCTAATTTTTATTCAAGACACAAACTAATACTTCTTTATTTGCTCTATGGTTAAAAAAAAAGTTAGGTCTCCAGACTGTCATTAGAAGCACAGTCACAAATTCCTGTCTTCCCTTCCACATGCTCTTTCTTATTTCCTTAAGTGAATCTACGAGTCACCATAGACTGATTCAGCAGGTAGAGCTGAATCAACTCTCTGAGCTGCCAAAAAAATGACCCAGTGGTTT